GTGGACAAATACCTTATTCAAATCCGTGTTTGTATGATGCATAATCACTTTCTAGATATAACTAACCAATGTATTTTAACAGGAAAAACACGACGGGTGTCAAAAGAAGTGCAGGAACTGCTAAACTTTCCGAAGCAACTAAGTTTACCCCTGGCTCAATGTTTAGGAATTGTGGGGTTTCTCTTTTCTTCGTTTTTTTTGTCATGATGTTGTTGTTTTTCTTTGACGTTATTTTTCAAAAATTTCCCCTTTGGTACCTTTCCTCTTTCCCCTTTGGTATCTTCCTGTAAGCATAGTATCTGTGACTTTTTAGCTGGCGATATCAGATGTAAGCATAGTATCTGTGACTTTTTAGCTGGCGATATCAGATGTAAGCATAGTATTTGTGACTTTTTAGCTGGCGATATCAGATGTAAGCATAGTATCTGTGACTTCTTAGCTGGCGATATCAGATGTAAGCATAGTATCTGTGACTTTTTAGCTGGCGATATCAGATGTAAGCATAGTATCTGTGACTTTTTAGCTGGCGATATCAGATGTAAGCATAGTATCTGTGACTTCTTAGCTGGCGATATCAGATGTAAGCATATAATCTGTGACTTCTTAGCTGGCGATATCAGATGTAAGCATAGTATCTGAGACTTCTTAGCTGGCGATATCAGATGTAAACATAGTATCTGTGACTTCTTATCTGGCGATATCAGATGTAAATATAGTATCTGTGACTTCTTGGCTGGCGATATCAGATGTAAGCATAGTATCTGGGACTTCTTGGCTGGCAATATCAGATGTAAGCATAGTATCTTGGAGTTCTTGAATGGCGATATCACCAGGGGCAAACAATCCAACCACAGTGCCATCGACCCAGTGATTGTAAAAGCTAATCAAAGATATCAAGCTTATATAAATAGTATTAAGAAAAACAAAATATCCAAGTTAAAAGATGTGAAGGGCAAATATATTGAGTGTGATGAAAATGGCAATAACGCTTTTTAAATTTGATACATTCGAAACGTCTTTTGGATTTACACTTATTAGGAACGCTCAAATGAAAATGAAAGCGAAGAAAGAATAAATACTTGTATATGTGAGGAGGTTATGACAACAAAACAAGAAAAGACAAATCCACCTAAGGTCTACCTTATCTGAGGCAGTTGGAAGTTACTTGATTATTTCAAAATGTAACTTTAAATTCAACAATAGAAAGGTATGTTATAAATCTGCTCTTTTTACCGAGCTGAAGATACCACATGGAATTAACATTCAACTAACAGCGATATCGATCTAATGATAAAAAAATGAAATAACCTATGTTTTTAGTTTGGTGCGTCAGAAGAACTTTTTGGATTCATCTTCATTAGAAACGCTCAAATAAAAAAAAAATGCAAAGAATGCGTAAACACTTGTATGCATGAAGAGCTTTATGACCAAAAATAAATAGCCAAATCCGTCTGAGGTCAATTTTGCCTGAGGGAGTTCTAAGTTACTAAAACATTTCTAAATTTATTAACGGAGATTTAACAAAAAAGAATTATGTAGTCGTGTCAATACTGAAGCAAATATTAATAAGATTATAAAATTATAGGGGACTAGCAGTCCACTAACAAAGGTACGATGTGAGATTCTCTCGATGTTTGAAGCCGTACGATAAGCCGTAGTTGTACACATATTTGTCCTTTGGTATTTGGTGGTTAGTTGACCTGGTAACTAGCGGTCTATGTATGAAGGTTTCATCCAAATTACCAGGGTTTCGGTGTTTACATAATTAAAAGAATTATCTTAGAATGAAAATTGTCTGACAGTGTATAAATTGTGAATTTAAAACTAAGGTTACAGTTCTATCAGGCAAAATTGACCTTAGATTGTTTTGAGTGTACTGTTTAAGTAGTGTCCATCTTCAGCTCTACAATTCCTCGTGGTTATATAGCTTTTCATGTAATCAAGTCTACATGATTATTGCCATTCTTTTATATTTATTTGAGCGTTCCTGTTGAGGGTAAAAATCCTCAAAAGTGCTTTGCACCGCACGATATGTATACAGTGTTATTACGATTTTTGAGCAATGGGTCGATACCTTAGTTAGTAGACTGCTAGTCCCCTATGATTTTATAATCTTATTAATAATTGCTTCAGTATTGACAAAACTACGTCAAATCTCCGTTGATAAATTAGTTACCAGGTCAACTATCCATCAAATACCAAAGGACAAATATGTGTACAACTACGGCTTATCGTACGGCTTCCAACATCGAGAAAATCTCACATTGTACCGAGATTAAACACTTCAACCAAACGCCCTAATATATACTAAACCGATCAATGAAAAAAACAGTTATGGAATACACCAACCAACCACAAACACTGGACAACAGTTTTCTGTCATCGAACATAAAGAACGTAGCGTTGTTAAACATGTCTCAATAAATACGTTACGCTTGTGCATGCTCACACTGTACGGACTTCAGTAACGAGTGTGTATTTCTTTCAAAAACAATTCAGACTTATGAGATAGATCGACAGAAATCGACACTGCATAAGTTTTATGGTCATCTTCACGAATCGGTTGACCGATACGATGTGTCTGTTTCTCAACTCACTAGCGACAGGTTTTCGTGTATTAAAATACCAGAATAGTCGTCTGACCTGTAATTTTGACTCATGTTTGGATATGCATGGGCGGGTGATGCATACATAGCTGAAGATGTTCATCTTGTCGATGCACCCGGTCTCGCTGCTTTTGAAGTTCATGTTTCTGTTTCGTACGATTCAAAACCAGAGTGTTGTAATTTTCTCGATCACCGAATACGACTTATCAGTGAATTTTTACGAGCGACATGACGGGTGCCACTTGTCGCTCAGGAACTACTTAGTCTTCCTGAGCACTGAGGTTTATCGCTGAGCTAGTTCTTTAAAGGGATTTGTTTTGCTTTTGCTTTAGTTTCAGTGTTGTACTTTGTACTTTTTCCTTTGTGATATTTTTTATTACAATGTCTGTCAAGTATTTACTTGTGAATTTTTTTTCTATCCTTTGTCCAGGAAAACTTACTCCTGTTTTCATTTTAAACTTTCACATTTGTATATTTTTTATTTTCTGAAATATTACTGATTGAAATCTTTCAACATAGGTGAACATTTGTATAGAAAGCACACAAAATCGGGGGGAAACGTTCTTAAATCAGAGGCTCTGGTCTCTGGTGGAGAGTTGTCTCATTCGCAATCATACCACATCTTCTTATTTTTATATTGTTATCTGTTTCTGTAGGAATCTTTGTAACTTATAAAGTTTTAGTATATAATGAATCAAATATGATAACTTGATTGACTCGGTCAACATGAATTTGACAAAAATAAAATATTTATAGAATCTTAATTTTCTTTAAATTACAAATAATTTTTGATTAAGACATACCTTTGAATAGGCTATAGCACACTTTTAAAACAGTCATAGCCGATGTGATAATTTCTGTTTCAAATCAGGAAGATATTTATAGTAACAAAAATAACGCGTTCACGGAAGAAAGGAAACAATACGTAAAATAATTGCTAGATGATATAAAGTAAATTGTTGAATAAATAAGTCTTATTGATATATATTTGCCTATTTCATTGTTGATAATGTTGTAATTTAGCTGTAATTAAAACTTATGTTAATCTAATATAATGATGCTTGCCTTACCAGAAAACAACCCAGGATTTCTTTATTAACAAACAGGGACTCCTCACTAGAAGGCTGGACTAGTGAAGATATCAGAAGAAGTGCAATTTGTTGTTAGATAAAAAAATGAATTTGACAGATTTGTCCTTTTAACACAGTGATTTCTTCTTTACACTAAGTAGAAACATGATTTTCCAACTTTATTGCATATAAAATATATAAATAACTGTGTATAAATAAATATATCTAATAAATTAGCTATATGTACACCAAGTTCTGTTTACATATATAACAACTTGTACACATATATACAAATAAGAATATGTGGCATGATTGCAAATGAGACAACTTTCCACAAGAGACCAAATGACATAGAAATTAGCAACTATATGTTCTATAAATTCTGTTTACATAAAATGCAATATGCACAGCAAGTTCTGTTTAAAAAAATTCTAAATACATGTCAATAACGAATTTTGTTTAATCATTTAATTAAAAATAAATTGAAGAAGATTAAAAAACTTATGATTTTCGTATTTAAACAAATATTTATTGGTAATTATCAAATCATGGCTATATGTCTCGTGTATTTAACTTCCTGGTCTCTACGTCACACAAACATACACATACAAAAACTTACAAATACGCGCACTTTAAAATGCATCACGCATAGATCTGTGGACTTAAAGGAAACATTAATTTGTTCAAATTCAAAAGGGTTTTCCCTTTAAAAAAATCCTTATACAACCCTAAACATGGTTCACAACTTTTTTAGGATCACGGTTATCTAAAGCTTGACATCTTGTATAGACACTCGTCTTTTGTTGTACATGGTCTGTTAATGTCAAGGTGTTGTTTGGTTATTCCTGTCTTTTGGTTGCTGCCTCATTGACGTTTGGACACATCATTATTATTTATATTTGAATTTAAACAAAGGATATTTAATTGAAGTTTCGTTTAAGAAGGGCGCTATATATCAAAAATATTGATTAAGCTAATATAAAAATAAGGAGATGTGTTATTATTGCCAACGAGACAACTATCCACCAAAGTTCAAATAAAGTGGATGTAAGCAATTACAAGCAACCGTACGGCCTTCAACAATGAGAAAACTCCATACCGTATAGTCGGCTATAAAAGGCCCCGAAAAGAAAAATATGAAACAATTCAATTGAGAAAACTAACGGCCTAATTTATAACAAAACAATTTACGAAAAACAAATATGACAGACGTCAAGCAACGACAACCACTGAACTACAGGCTCCTGACTTGGGAAAGGCACATAAAGAATGTGGCGGGGTTAAACATGTTAGTGGGCGCCCACCAAATTCCCCCCCCCCCCCCCTAATCTGGGACAGTGGTGTAACAGCACAACATAAGAACAAACTATAAAAATCAGTTGAAAAAGGCTTAACTCATCAGATCGATACAAAGAAATTATTATTTAGTTTTGTTCCCCCTTAAAGATGGGGTGGATGATAATGAGACAAAGTGCAATAAAGATGGGCTGAATGATAATGAGACAACGTACAATAAAGATGGGCTGGATGATAATGAGACAACGTGCAATAACACGAATCAAGGAAATAGTGTGCTTTTGTTGGTTTCTCTTTTGTTTGACAGAAAGTTTTTAACGATGATCCGGAAATTCACTAGCGATGAGGTAATCGTTTTTCTATTAATTTTTTTTCAAATGTTTTCCCCAATATGTGTTACATACTTATTTACAAACATTCAGGTTGTATATCATGGTAACCACAACATAAATATCTAAGAACCATTTAACCCCAACATATAATTAAGAATTATGTCATAAACATATAATAAAAAAATAACAACAGTTAAAGCATTCACCATTAACAAGTTCATCTAAAATAGTCACATATAAGTATGTACTAATTAAAGTCTGCATCTGCAAATATGTGCACTAACTAGTGTTGACAGTTGGAAAGTTAAAACTTCTTAAACTAAAAAAAACAATGTCCAAATACTTCCATAATTGAAAAAAAAAAATATTTACATGACCTTTTATTCTCTAAACAAAAATAAAAAGCAACCATTTGTATATATCGGTTGTAAAATCCATTTCCTATTTCACTTAGCTAATACCTCAAAAGAATTTCCTTAAAAAATAATAAACACTATACAATCGGAATTAATGATGTTATTATTCAAATTCATATTAATAATGATTTATTATTTTAATCTTGCATAACACTATTGTTCAACTGAAAAATTGCTCGCGTGAAACGGCGTAATAACATATAACTTCGATCCCAGGCTACCAGTCAGAAACTGCGTAATAACAAATAACTTCGATCACAGGCTACCAGTCAGAAAGTGGTGATGTTAACTTCGATCACAGGCTACCAGTCAGAAAGTGGTGATGTTAACTTCGATCACAGGCTACCAGTCAGAAAGTGGTGATGTTAACTTCGATCACAGGCTACCAGTCAGAAAGTGGTGATGTTAACTTAGATCACAGGCTACCAGTCAGAAAGTGGTGATGTTAACTTAGATCACAGGCTACCAGTCAGAAAGTGGTGATGTTTGCATTGATGAATCTCTGCCTTCGATGAGATAATTTGGCGGCAATCTGGAGGTAAAAGGTTGGTGTAAAATGGAACGGCTTGTTAAATTACCATTAAATGCAAGGTCATTGTCAACTGGATGTTCAGGTAGAGACCTGAAGGAAATATCCGGTCTGTGTGAACTACCTACATATTGAGCTATTATTTCCGGTCTATTTGAACTACCTACATACTTTGCTAAGACTTGTCCTCGCTCTTCAGCAATATGCATTTGTTTCTCGCGAAGTTTCTCAGCAATGAATTCCTTGTCTTTGGAAATGGGATATAGTGCAGCTTGGAGGGTATTTTTCTCTCTTTTTTCTTGTTCCAGTGCGCGTTCTAACTCCTCACATCTGTCTTGTACGTCATTAGTGAAATGCATGATATTTGGCTTGACCTCAGTCTCGACCTCCATGTCCTTCAAAGCAATGTTTTCCTGAAATCTAATAGCAGCTAATTGTCTTTCGATGGCATACCTTTGAAGTTTGTTCCTTTCGTACATTGTCAATAAGTTTTTATGCCCAGAAACATTCATTGTCTTTTTTGTATCTTCGATATCTTTGACAAGTTGTATTTTTTCTTCATTCAGAGTTTGCATGTCCGTTTCAAGTTTTGATATTTTTCCTTTAAAGTCGTGCACTTTTAATTCAAGGTCGCTTGTTCGGTCTTCCCGTTTCAACAAATTCTGTAATTCCTTTGTCCCTCTTTCTAATTGAGATTCGTGCTCCTGAATATTCTTAGAGAGTGCAGATAAGCGTTTTGAGAACTGTCCCTCCAACGCTGCTAATTTCTGTAACCGCTCATTCAAGTCTTTTGTTTTCATGTCATCTAGTTCCAACCAACGCTTTGCTAACCATGCAGCCTTCTGAAACTTGACAAGAATATCTGGAATCAGCCTCATCAAACTATAAGTTCTTGAATTTTTCACTTTTAAGTGACAAACGGCCTTTTCGCTGTCTTGACTGAACATTTCAGAACTAAATTGAGACTCGTTGTCAATAAGGAAATCTAATTGCTCCTTTAAAAACGAAAGTCTGTGTGAGATTTTTTCTATTTCTGTAGAATCGTAAAGGTTTTTGATATCTCTAAACTCCCTCCCGAGTAGGAGCAAGGCAGCTCTTGCTAACATCTTTTTCCGTGTCGTGTGAATGTTTTCATCAGATTCCTGACTTCCGGTTTCAGAGAGTCCAAGTTGACTCCAGCCAGAAAATGAGGACAATCCTGTTACATGACTATTAAATGTTTTCACTGAATTTACGCTGAAATTTGAAAATGACATCGCTGAATCAACGGAACGTTCACGGTCAGGGCCTGTACTCCCGAATTCATAAAAGTATTTGAATAGAGGGTTGAAAACTCTGTCTACAAAGTTTGCACGAAGATCTCGTAAGTATTTCAAATTATTGAAAAACCAAATGAAATATTGTACAACTTGATCAGGTTCTTCCGGTTTCTTTTCTGGTAAATCACTCTTTTTATTTCTTTGACGCATACGACTTTTTCGTATTTCTACCTGTAGAGCCTGCCGCAGTCCCGCTAGTGTGTATATATCACGGGCCCCCTTGCAACGTCGTGCCATTTCTCGGAACATTTTAAGAAGCATGTCCACGTTAAAGTTGTCATAGCTAAGGTACACTTTCTCTTCAAAAGCTTTTATCTGTTGGTAGAGAAGGTAACTGCGGTATTTCTCTTCTAAAGTTAAAAGACGCACCTGAAATGTATTTATATAACCGATGTAATGTTTGGAACGACATAGCAATATACGAACAAGTTATTAAAAACGAAATTTCATATAATCAGTATTTTGTTTTCTATGTTGTGTTTTGTATAATGTTGTTTGTCTTTTTGTTGTTTTTCGTTTTTTTGCCATGGCATTGTCAGTTAGTTTTAGTTTTTTGCCATGGCATTGTCAGTTAGTTTTCGTTTTTTTGCCATGGCATTGTCAGTTAGTTTTCGACTTATGAACTTGAATGTCCCTTTGATATCTTTCGCCTCACTTTTGTTGCTAGAAAGTAAAAAGGGCTAGCCGACTGCCCCTTATTTTCTTGTAAAAGTGCAGAAAATTAAAAGATCGCAATTTTCGGCCTGTAGATCATTCATTTGTTTCTTTTAATTGCAGTAGACCCTTTATCTGTCTGATGTCTATCTGCATGCATGCTACTAAAACGAATAAACGAACAAACTGCAAGACAACTAATGAAATACAAAATATCACATGATTACGAATAAAGTAGATCACGTGATTTTATCCAGAACTTTTTTGTTATCGTTAACAATATCTCCCGCCTCTCAAGTTTTTAACAACTGATTAAAATCCAAGTAAATAAGAAATCTGAAATTAAAAAAAAAAAACTTCATGTGCGCCCATTTTTAAAATGATCAAACTAAAAAAACCTATAGTGCCTCTGTTGAGTATACAGAAAGATTTTTGTTTAATACATCTTGAGGTGTGTTAGAAATCTAAAAGTGTAAATCTCTCAAAAATGATAGCGGTAAATCCGTCATAACACGTAACGTTATAGTGACAATAATTTGTAATATCCAATATTCTGGCATCTCAACAGGTACGTATAATTTATAATTTTGTTGTTGGCGTTGTAACTCACTACATACCCTTGGGAGCACCCAAGTCATTTACAATGATTTTTTTAACCTACATAGATTTATGCTTATCAATCTAGTTTATACTCGTCAGATAAAATATCATATACTTTCATTATGATAGCATTGATTTGTAGACAATATGATATGACTGTTCTTTATTTTACATTTACATATTCCAATAAAAACATTGATTTTACCATTCAATTATGCATTTCAACTTTTATGCCTTATCATATATGCCTTTTATACGAATCTATTTTAATTCATTTCACTAACATATGCGTTTATTCAAACCTTTTTTTGCTAAACTTGTCTAAATATTTGACGTATTACAAGTCTGAATTAAATGCGAATGTAAAAATCCAAATGACGTAAATACCAATAATACTGTGACGTGAACCTTCTATTAGCAGACGGACATAGTTAATCTTATTCTTTAGACAACCTAAATTTATGCATATGTCGGAATATATATCTTACACAGGTCATCGACTTCCAAAAGTCCCTACTATGAAATTTTCTCTCAAGTTATTTTTATTTATATTTGTATAATGTGTTTCAATTTAAATTCATGTTATGATTAAGACTGCTCAAATATGATATTGTTATAATAGTATTCAGGAGACTTCATCAGCACGATGTATTTTTTTCTGGTCCATTTTGCTATCAATTCTATCTTTGTACGTGATTTATAGAAGTACTGATCTCAATACACATTAAAGAATTGTAATAGTAAACAAACTATCAATTCTATCTTTGTACGTGATTTATAGAAGTACTGATGTTAAAATCAGTAAATTGTAGAACTGACCTATCATGACGTAGATAGGCGGTGCTGATAATATTCAAAAGGAAAAGGAAAACAAGATAAGGAAAAAGGAATGAACACGAAAGAGTATAAACTACTTAAACTTAAGCATGAAACAACACCAGTATGTAATATATAGATAACCTGGTTATTCTTAAATGTCAATCAAATTGATACAATACTCTTTATAAAAGCTTTTACTTATGGTCAATACAAATGGTTTGTTTCAAATAAATCGTTAAGATTTACTCCTAATGATTTATGAAATGTTTGAACAGTTGAATCAATTCTCTTGTGATAACGTTGATATGTGACTTTTATAGCCCTATAAGGTATATACTAATACCTATGAAGATGTGTAACCATGGATGTTAATCGTGGTTAATCAATTAAAGTACTTCACTTTTGGGCATGTTTGTTATTACACTTTTCTTTTTACGTTACACTTTTGTTCTTACCATTATATATATATAAGAAAAGATCAAAATGACGTAATTCGTTTATTACTAAACTTTCTTGTCGACATTTGAAGGTTTTGGTTGTTCTTGTGCATTGTTTTATGTTATCTGTTTGAACGTTGCTAGCATAAAGCATTGCGTGTACCTGATGATTATTTTTTAATAAGGACGTGTTGTATTAAAAATTATAAATGTGCATTACTTAATAAATTTATTTAAAAAAAGCTCTTTACGTTTAATGTGTACACAAAAATACAATCAAGACTTAGGAAGTCAATGAAAGTTACGAAACTCATTCTAAAATTTTATTTTTCTCAATTCTCATATTCCAGTTAAAACGAACTTTAATCCACTAAGTCCACAATACATCGAGTTGTTTGTCATTCCAGCGGGAGAAACTTCATGCATATATAGAACGAGAACAAGCGATTAAGGTAGAGTTCTAAATTATAGGGCAAGAAAATGGACGGATAATTAAAACAGTGGAAAACAAGCACACATTGGATGTGTGTCCTCTATTTCAAATTCAAACCAATAAAAAACGACCTTTAAACCGCCAAGTCCAAAATATATCGAGTTATTTGTAATTTAGAAAATCATCCAGTGGCAAACATTTGATGCCTATGTATGGCGAGGTAGAGTTTTGACATAATTATATTGAGAACGCATTGCTTACAGAAGAAAACAATCACCACTGTCTCAGGTTAGGGGAGGATTGAGCGCTCACAAACATGTTTAACCCCTCCACATTCGTTATGTGCCTGTTATAGATTAGGCTGTTAGTTTTTCTCAATTGAATTGTGTCATATTTTTCATGTCGAGGCCTTTTATAGCCTTCTATACGGTATGGGGTTTTCTCATTGTTAAAGGCCGTACGGTTGCCTATAATTGCTTACATCCACTTCATTTGAACTTTGGTGGATAATTGTCTCGTTGGCAATCATACCACATCTCCTTATTTTTATACAAATAGAACAAACAGTTGGGGATTAATAGATCACAGTCTCAATTGATTTAACGCCCAAAGTTAAACTAGCAGAAACTGAAATATGGATCTACTGTTAGGCAGTTATTGCCAAAATGAATGAACAAAGTATTACAGAAAATAAGAAAGATAGCTGATTCAACTAAAGCTTATAACAACATTCTGGGAAAATAAAACCTGTCAAAGTTGATCTTAAAGTCTATCAAATAAATCTAATTTATAACTGACCTGTTGGATCAAATATTTGAAAGTTATATCCATATCAAATTCTGGACTGTCAATTGGAATTTACAAATATTTAACTTTACATCGTTAAAATTGGATTTAAATATTCACAGCAGCGTATGAATTGTTAGTATTGATCTACGGTAGTTAAAACACAACGGCGATATAGATTTTTGAACAAATCCACAGTTCTCTAACGGAAACGGATGTTTATATGTCCATACCTGAGAATCAATATACAATATATTGTCACTTGGCGGGAATCGGTCGCAAATGGCCCGCAATGTCAATTACAACCTAGGCATCGTATATTGCTTTATGTAAACATTAAATGTAAACTTATTGCAACTAAAATAAGAACAGTGTCATTTGATAGATATTTCAAGGGCGTACTGAAATGTTCAGAATTGAACTGGCAGTTGCGTGACCCGTGTTAAGAGGAATCCCTTGACTGTATGAAAAATGTACAGCTGTGATACTCATGCAAAAAGGAACCATTGGCTGTATGAGAAATGCACAACTGTTTCCCGTGTAAAGAGGAGGAATTATCTGTTGACTGAGAAATGAACAGTTGAAAACCCGTGTTAAAATACAGATCATGTATCCAAGCTTTGTTTACAAGGATCTGACAACCCTCCGGTCTACTTTCTTTTTTAGAGATCTTTCGAGATATTCTGTTTTTTTCGGATTGATACACACCTTCAAAAATTTGAAGGCTGAAATTTCATTGGCTGATGTAATCATTACCAGAACAGAAAATAAAACCTGTGTTGTCAGTTCTTGTAAGCAAAGCTTCGATAAAGGATCGTTATTTTAATCACATTGCGTGTTAAGATGAGTCCATTGACTATATGATAAAGTTACAGCTGTAAGATCCGTGTTTAGAGGAATCCGTATGGCTGTATGAGATAATACCAAATCACATTCATTTTTATAAAAAAAAAAGTTATTTCAATTTATGATTCCATGCTCTCTTCCGTGTAAGGAGCTTTAATCTACTAAAGGATGTATGCATGACCTGTTGTTACATGTGTGCCACCCATTTCATTGGTAGTCGAAAATCTAACAGTTTTCTCCGATATACTCTTTGTTTAACTTGATCTCAGCAGGGATATGCATCCATGATCTATCCATGAATATGTAGGTCTTGCATATTCATGGATAGATCGCTTCGGACGCACGAAATTATATGAAGTGTTATTTTTCATTTACTAGCACTAGGTCGATACCACTGCTACTGGATTTTTAGTCCCCAGCGGTTTCATTATCTCAGTTGCTAGTTCTTCTGTACTGATATGATTTATAACATGTTGTTGGTTTTTTTTTAAGTCTCCGTTGATGAACTGATAAGTTATTTAAAAACTAAGGTTCCAGTTACCTCGGGAAATTTACCTTAAATGAATTTGACACTTTTTTTAAGGTCCCTTTGGCCTCTAGCTCCAAGCGGTTTTAGGTCTTATACATCAGTGGCTTTCAATTTTTTAGATTTTGAGCGTTCCTGAAGAAGGTTAATCCAGAAAAGTTCTTTAGGCGTTCTTTGGACGTACAGAATTGTATAAATTGCTATTTTCGCCATCTTGATCTTCTAAAAAGAAACAACAACCCGACCAAAGAGCAGAAACAGCACAAGG